TCTAGACCTTTGACTTTCGCCGAACGAGGTTTTACCGGTGGACCTTTTCACCTGGTTGTCATAGCCCAGCCCATAGCTACACCCCCGAACACGGTCCCGACCCACTCCACCCCAAGATTCCCTTCGTGCCTGCCCGACGTGGCCGTTTCCCCCTCTGTGACACGGTGGCAGTGACGCCTGTGAAGGGGGGGGGGGGCAATTGATATTAATCGAGGTATTTTTTTTACATAATGCACATTTAAGTTAATCAAATTAGGTTTTGAAAAAATTAAAAATAAATAAGAAAGATAAAATAAAATAAATAAAATGGGAAAAATTAATAGAAATCTATGCCGACGTCAAGGCCGTCGGCATAGTTATGGCCACGGACCGCTAGAGCCCTGGATCGATGACGCGATGACGTGGCATACCTCGCGGATTGATGACGTGGCACATGCCAGGCCATGGGCCAGGCCTGTGCCGACGGCCTTGCCGTCGGCGTACCTTTGCCACCCCACGGACCGGCGAGGGGCTCGGATCGATGATGTGGAGGTCTCGTGGATCGATGACGTTGGCATGGCTATACGGACAGCCCCCGTTAGCCCCCGTCGGCGTAGCCCTCACACCGTCAAACGTCTGTCGCCGCCCGGTAGCTGGGCCTACATGGTTGCCGATGGCTTGAGCTATGCCGACGACCGCCGTAGGCATATAGTTTGCGATGCCGACGGCCGGCCTATGCCGACGCCTTATCTACACCGACGGCTTCACCTGGGCCGTCGGGATACGTCCATCTATGCCGATGGGGTCCGTCGGCATAGATCCGGCCGTCGCTGTACGCAGTTATTCCATTAGTGAACTTAATACTACACATCATATTAGGTAGTATGATCTACCTAATAATATCCCCAAAATAAATAAATAAAAATACAGAAGACACACGTGAGGGAGGGTGTTGAATTTTAAGTACAGAAAAAAATTAACCCTTTGCTCGGCAATTCTTTGTTCGTTGAGAAAAATATTAATGAATGGATTGTGCCTACAATTGTTTTGCAGATATTTGGCCTTAGCGTTGTGAACGCTACAACTTGCATATGCACGGTGTTACGTATATATATGCTCTTCTTTATCTTGTTCGTACTCACAACTTTACTTGCTTGTAAGAGGATCATGTATACAATACATCTCGAGGTGTTGCAAGCGAACCTGGTGTGCATCTTGATGCCACAAGACAAGAAATTATTCAGCGGATTTCGAATTCACTACTAGCTGAAATTAGCCCCGACAACGATCACGTGCACTGTGTCTCGTGACCAGATTCCTGCCGTTGGAACAAAAAACAATCAGTCCCACTGCAAGTAGATTAGGACTATTTTTTACGGTTTAACGTACGACAGTCTTCAACAGCCGTCCGCAGTTAAAGCACTGCAACTAGCATTGGTTCGCTCCACCAAGTTCACTTCGTACTCCTCAGTCCTCAGTTACTTCATTCTACTCCCCAACACCCAGCTGCGGTGCAATATTGTTTGCGAGAGAATCGGAGCTGACTGGAGATAATGGCGGATACGGTGCTGAGCATGGCGAGGTCCATGCTAGTGGGCGCCATCAGCATCGCAGCCTCTGCCGCCGCCGCTGAGATGAGCCTCCTTATCGGCGTGCAGCAGGATATCTGGTACGTTCGCAAGCCAAGCACATACAACAGCTAGTTATAGGTTCTTTATATCATGCACGCCTGATCTTATTTTCTCGTTTATGGCGGCGCAAAATTGCGAGCATACAGGACACGAGCTAGTTGTAGTATGGACCCAAACCCTTGTTCTGAATTTCCTCTCAACCTTTCGTTTGGCAGGTTCATTAAAGATGAGCTAGAAACGATGCAACATTGAAGACTGCCTTGACGAGTTTATGGCCCATGTGGGAAGCCAAAGCTTTTCAAGGCAGCTTATGAAGCTCAAAGATCGCCACCGGATTGCCCTCCAGATTCGCAACCTCAAGTCCAGAGTTGAGGAAGTGAGTTGCAAAAACACAAGATACAGCTTAATCAAGATGGATGCCTCCAACACCATTGCAGAGGTAGATTCCTACATTAAAGATGTTCGCAATCACTCAGCAAGCAATATCAATGACACAGATCTTGCGGGCTTTGAAAAGCCTAAGAAGAAGTTGATTGATCTGATTGATGCCAACACTAAAGATGGCGCTGCTAAGGTCATATGTGTAGTTGGAATGGGTGGTCTAGGCAAGACTACTCTTATAAAGAAGGCCTATGAATCAAAGGAAGATATAGCAAAGAATTTCTCTTGTTGTGCTTGGATAACAGTCTCACAGTCGTTTTTCAAGTCAGAGCTGGTCAAAGATATTATCAGGCAGCTACTGGGAGTTGATTCATTGAAGAAATGCTTAGAGGAACTTGCTGGGAAAGTTCTGAAAGTTGAAGATCTCGCAAAGTACCTCAGAGAAGAGCTCAGTGAAAAGAGGTACTTTATTGTTCTTGATGATATGTGGCACATACATGATTGGAATTGGATTTATAGTATTATCATTCCTCATAATAATAATAAAGGTAGTCGGATAATAGTAACAACACGAGATGCTGGGTTAGCTAAGGAGTGCACTTCTGAGCCATTTATCTACCACCATCAACCCCTACAAACTAGTGATGCCATAGATCTGCTACTCAGAAAGAGTGGAAAAAGACAGCAAGACATCGAAAAAGATAAGAACATAGTTAAACAGCTAGTTAAGAAGTGTGGCCGGGTACCTCTGGCTATACTCACAATTGGGGGCATCCTTAGCACTAAAAAAGTAGTCGAGTGGAGACAATTTTATAATCAGCTTCCATCAGAGCTTGAGAACAACCCAAGCCTCGAGGCAGTGAGGAGGATGGTGACCCTAAGCTATAACCACTTGCCATCTCATCTTAAGCCATGCTTTCTTTATCTAAGCATCTTCCCCGAGGACTTCGTAATCCAAATAAGATGTCTGGTAGAAAGATGGATAGCAGAGGGTTTGGTTAAAGGTAGGGTGGGTTTGAGAATTGAGGATGTCGGTAAAGGCTATGTTATTGAGTTAATAACATAGTGTCTTTGGTGAGATACCCGTGAAGCCACCAACTTCACTTTGTTCATCCCAGTTGAAGATGCTAATGGTTTTGGATCTGCAGAATGCACAGTTTGTACTTACACAAAAGGATATCAACAACATCTGGTTGTTGCACCACTTGAAGTATGTGAATGTTCGGTGTCCAGGATATCCAAAATTTCATGCACTTCCAAGATCAATTGGAAAACAGAAGGGCTTGCAAGTTTTGGACTTAAGAGACACTCGAATCACAACAATACCAACCGATATCAGTAAACTCAAAAATCTCCGTAGCCTCCGTTGTAGTAAAAGCAGCTACCGCAATTTTCGTCCATATCGTAAATATTTTCCTCGACTTATGAAGAATGGAAGATATTCATTTCACGAGACAAAAGGTGTGAAGGTGCCAAGAGGCATTGGCAATTTAAATGAGTTGGACATACTTGAGGTTGTGGACCTCAGACGAACTAGTTGCAAAGCAATTGAAGAGCTCGGAGAGCTTATACAGCTAACAAAATTGAGTGTGACAATAAAAAAGGTTACAAACAAAAAATGCAAAGTATTTTGTGCAGCCCTCCAGAAGCTGTTTTCACTTCGCTCTCTGAGTCTGGATTCTATTAGTAAATTTGAAGTGGGTACACTTAAGTGCCTGGATCGTATTTCCTCCCCACCTGCACTCTTGAGGACCTTCAGATTGCGTGGACATCTCGGAAAGATGCCAAGCTTGTTTGGTAATCTTATGCACTTAGTGAAGATTTACTTAGAGGCAAGTGAACTAGAGGAAGGTCAGCCCATGGAAATATTAGGAGCACTGCCCAGCCTCATGCTCCTTCATCTTGATTACAAATCTTATGTCGGGGAGAAACTAGTGTTCACAGAGGAAGCATTCCCAAATCTCAGAAGACTATATGTTTCCCAGTTGTGGAATGTGAAGGAGGTGATGTTTGAGGAGGGATCCTCGCTCCAGATGGAAAGGATACAAATCTGGGATATCGGAAGGGGCGCTCAGATTGTTGGTGTCAAGCACCTTCCAATTATCAGGGAGATCAAATTTGGAAAAACATATGTACATTCGCCCAAAGTAGTAGCTGATAAGCTGCAAGAGGAAGTGAGCGTGCACCCCAATCACCCCCTGCTGCTACTGGAGTAGCAGATGAAGCGCGAGGAAGTGGAGTGTGGTGACTGGTACTGTTGCTGTTCATCCATTGGCAGTGGCGCCTCGGAAGTAATTGTCAGCGTCCAATGGCAGGTGAGTAGTCCTGCATGTCACCTAATTTCAACTAGTACTTCGTTTCAACCGGAAGATATGGGCTAATACATTATACTTCACGCATGATATTCTGCTGAAGCCTTTAGCCTAAAGGTGTATAATGGCAAGAGCGAAGACCTTTTGTTGATGCTTCCTTTCAAGTTAGAAGCTATTGTTCTTCCTCCGGCTCTCCTTCATTTCCTTCTCCAGGCGCTAACCTCGGAAGCTCCAGCTTAGGCCAATGCCTTGTGATGCTACGCTGGTACGTATCAAATTTCCGTTTCTGTTCATTTGATTTTATCCGGTTTGCGTTTCTCACGGTGTTTCTCTATCTCTAGCAGGAGGTGTTGCTCATTTCCACTGGTTGTTGTTGATGATGATGACATGATCCTCCATCTCCTTGCCAGTTGCACCTTTTGTGCTACTCTACTTCGTATCTATTGTCGCCATCTTCTAAGGTCTAACTTCGAAGGCCATGCATGTTGGTACCACCCAAACCTCGTTCGATTTGTTTGATTCCATCTGATTTATTGCAATGTTTGTCGGGGTTTTGTACACACCTACTGTTTGTCTGAGTATCTATATCTGTAAGAGGTTAGATGTTACAACTACAGAATTTGAAATTGAACAGGATTACGTTTAAATGGACACTTGATTACCTGCAGTTGGTTGCATGCTCGTCCCAAATTCTGGTTCAGTGTAATTACCTGCTAACCTGCAGTTGGTTGCTTGCTTGTCCCAAACTCTAGTTCACGTAATGTCGTTAGTCCCATAGCTACTTACCTGTTGGACATGTAAGGACAACCTTTTAGTGTCAAGTTTCACAAGCTGCAGCATAAAAGTGGTTGGTTTTGCTTTAATATCCATGGACTTCTTCTACTTCTTAAGATTTCATTTTGATTTTTTTATGACTTCTTATAATCCATTTCATAGCAGAAAAATGTATACTGCTTGTCTGTTATAGATAAACACCTCCCTCGGTGTTCATTGTCATAACATCTGATATCTTGAAATCTAGGAACTATTGAATTCATGCTCCAGCCAACTCATCCAAAAGTCCGAACTGACGGAGGGAGGCAGGCAATATATTTCAACACTCCCCCTCCCAAAAGTCCGAACTGATGGAGGGAGGGGAGCAATATATTTCAACACTCCCCCTCACGTCTAGGCTATTTTAGTCCTTAGACGTGGGATCGATGTAGGCCGCATAATCGTTTTATTTAATACTGTGTTGGCAGGGTCTTGAACTCAAGACCTCTCGGCTCGGATACCATATTGAATTCATGCTCCAGCCAACTCATCCAAAAGTCTGAACTGATGGAGGGAGGCAGGCAATATATTTCAACAGGAACAACGACTGGAGCAACACTGCTTGCTAGCTAACAATTGAGCATGGAGCTTCTCAATCTGAAGTGAACAAACATCCTAACAATCGTTTGCTACCAAGGATGCTGAATGATCTCCAGTCTAATTGGAAGCCGTTGGATCTTTTTCTCATCCAGGATAGTGTTCTCGGTGTGTCAACAGTCCAAGTGCCTCTGAAACATGCACCATGATGCGATCATCTTGATAACAGCTGGTTAGTTCACAAAATCAAATCCGTTTTTTGTAGTTATCTTGTCACGTAGTCTTCATATACTTACATTTTCTCATGATGTTTTCAGCTTGGGAACACATCATACATTTGCTGATGAAATAAGCTAATGCATGCTCCGATATGCATTTCAGCCGGGGAGAGGACGTGGAAAAATGCAATGGAAGTACTAGAGGTCTGCATCGTCTAACCTTCTTGTATCTCAGTGTATAGTTGTATATGCTAGGGAGAGATTAGTGTCCACATTGTGGTAATATTTCGAAATATCAGAAATCTTGATATTTAGGTGTTAAACAATGTGTTAGTCAGGTCCATAGGAGCGCACCAGCGCACCGGTTCGGTTGAGTCAGGTCTGCCTTAGATAGATTGAGGTTGTTAGAGTATATAGTTGTAATCTTTTCATCTCTATCTTATCTCTTTCGTCCTTGATCTCCAAGATGTAATCTCAACTGAATTGTATGCTTATCAGGGATACGCCCCTGCCTATATTAACACGAAACCGTCGCCTCGAGAGAGGTACGATGTTATCCGCTTCTTCACATTAGGAGAGGAGCTGAAGCAACTGTCCCTGATGATAGTTGAGCAGGGTGCTTGAGAAGGACACTGAATGTTCTGAAGTGTGAACTATGATCACACTGATAACTGCTCAGTTCATCTACAGCTCCTTTTCATGTTCTCATGTTGGATTTTCCATATAATTATGTTTCTTGGTAGCATTTTCAGTTTACGAATATGCATCAGCTGTTGATATCTACTAATTAATTAATGCGATGTGTATGCATTTCAGCTACTTAAGCTGAAATGGACTACACCAGACGAGATGTTGCTGCTACTTAAGCTGCATATACTTACTGTTATGCTGCAACGGTCACCACTTTCAGCCATTCAAGTTCTCTGCTAAGTGGTGGCCTCTGATATGGTGCAATGTGAAGCTGAGAGGGATCTCAACATTGCTCCACTGCGAATGGAAGAGGAACACATTGTTCTCGGGGCTTTAGTGTAATGGAGGGGAGTAGGAAGTTGCAACCGTTGGCCCAGATGAAAAATCGCTTCTGACCAACCTGATGAGAACACCTGCAATTTTGAATGGGGATTTACTTTGTTTTCTAGTACCCTGTTTTTCCAGACATGTTTAGTTCCTCTTTGTTACATTGCTGCCACTATGATTGTGCTTGTGTGTAATCAAAGAATGAGGATTAAAAATGTTGTTATCCAAGTTCCGCAAATTTAAGAATCTGTTTGAGTTCTCTTCACTCCGGAACGTAAACGAACCCTTGACTCCATGGAGTCGTCAGTGCGGAGGGGAGCAGTCCGGTAGTACAAAATCAACCGGATGAGAATATAGACTTACTCTGTTTCTAGTACTCTGTTTTCTTTACGATGATTAATTGTTCTGAAATTCTTGCTACCATTAACACTATGTCTGTCCTTGTTTCTAGATGAAGAATGATGATTGCAACTGTTGTTATCCATTTTCCACAAAATTTCAGTTGGTGAAATAATGCACCTACAATATATGCCATTAAAGTTGCGATTGCCATCGGGTTTCGCTTTGCCAATTACAGTTTGCCGACAAAAGGCCACATGGAGGCATTCAGCTGAAGCATAGGTTTATTTTTGGAGACCCATGTTTTCCCATTTCAACTGGAAATAGTTTTAGGAACCTGCGAGCTAAATTGCACAATCAGCAGACTGACTGCGATAAAGATCAGGGCGGAACACCGATGACTTCCGACGAACACACGCTTGCATCCACCTTCGAGATAAGCAGGTAGATAGAAACCGGCTCTATCTTTCATGTCGCAACAGATAAGCCATTAATTTCCGGAAGGGTAAGAAATATGCTGAGGTAGTGCATGTATTTGGATCTTCAAGAGCATGTTCCCGGGAGTTGGTGGTGGGACATTAGAAGCCACAGAGAAGCCATGAGAAAAGGAAACAATACATCCTGATCTGATCTGATGTGGCAGTTACTCCAGCTATCCTGCACCGAGGGCTGTAGTCAGAGCTGACGGTTCCAAACATATTTGATATGGTAGTTGGCGGTGGGAAAAGGTTGCTTCCCCTCCCTCCCATGTTGGGGTAGCTAGATATGCTACTTTGGAAGTTGACGCGGTTTGGGGAGAGTTAAGCGAGTAGCCTATCTTGGTGTACTCTTCTCTTTTTGCAAAAATGAGATGGTAGTTCGTACTATTAGCTTCCCTCATCAGCTGTATTTCAAACCCTCTCCTCTTAGACAAAGACACGCACATCTTGCGTGCTTTTTTGAGAGAAAATGCTGAATTATTTCATCCTTTCCGGATAACGTGTTTTTGCTAACAATTCAATTACACTTGGACAAATTGTGTTTTGCTAAGACCTAGCTTCACAGGTAGGCTGTATAATAAGATCGTTAACTTAGCTGGCTAGCCTGTGTTAGTTTCAAGCTAGCTAGAAATGGTCAGATTCCAAGTTTCTATAGCCGCCAGTTCTAGTATATAATTAAGCACGCATAGTTTTGCCGCCTGCCGCATGCCTGTGATATATGCCTATGATGTATCATAGTGACATATGGCCAATTATTTATCTGGGTACTGAGAGCTGCATTTGAACAACCAGAATTTGAAAGAAAGACTTGACTTGATGCATGGTTTGGCCATTGGAGCGCATAGTGCTACCTAAGATGTTGTGTGAAACCGAATGGAGATTCCAATACCGCTAGACGCTAGTGTACAAAACGCACACCCAATCGCTGCTAAACGTGCTACACTAGTAGCTAATAGAAAATTGACGTGTGGTTATATTTGGATAGTTGCATTTCAACAATCCTAATACAAAAAGACAGCTAGGCTCAAGGCACTAATCATCAACGGAGTAAGATTTAAGAACTCATGACATGGGAGGTAGTGCTCTTTCCAGTCCAAATTTGGCCGGCCAACTTTGTCGCCGGCAAAAGAGACGTAGTACTAAACTGCTGCAACTTGCCACATGCTCTTAGGGCATCTCCAGCCGTTCGGCCCCCCAGGGCGTCTAGAGCGGCCTGGGGGCGTGCCGGCGCTAGTTCGGCCCCTGGGGGCGACCTAGCTCCCAGTCACGCCCCCACGCGCCGGTCCCAGGATGCGGGAAATTTAAACTTGGTCGTTCCCGCTCTCAAAGACACCGCAAATCCGGCGATCGGACGTAGTCTGGCATTACAAAAAATAGAGCGCCGCCGCCGCAAGTTCGCGTGCGCAACGATTCACTCGGCGGGGTCGGCTCCAGGCGTTGGCGGAGTCGGCGTGCGCGGGCTCGTCAGTGTCGGAGCTGCTTCGGTGCTGGGCTGCGTCGG